ACAAAACAGAACAACAGAGATTGAAGGGATATCAAAAAGTACATTAATCTTCTCTCTTTATTCTCCAACCTGAAGATTCAAAGTGAGACTCTTATGAATCCACCGAGGGAAAACCACACCATCAGTCAGGGATAAGTTTTCTTTCCCAGCTCTATGAGGCATGTTGTTGTTGAAGAGAGGAAACAACGAATGTCTGTACAGTGGGACCAGGACAAATCCAGTACCTCTTAGTAATATATATACTTAAAACACATTTTGTTATGCCTTTGCGTTTGTTGTTACCTTAATTCTGATGGCTATCATGTAATTGGATTGAAAAGTTTTTGAAAAAATAATCATGAGTAGACTGAGGAGGTTTGTTAGGATTTTGTTTTGTTTTGGTTGTTTATTTTGGGGAGGATACCTTAGGGAATAATATTTGATTTGTTTATTTTAATTGACAGTCTGTAATCCGTGGAATTGCCCCATTTTAAGAGCTTTAATAGAGTATTTCCTTTTAAGTATTTAAATATTTTCTTCTCTGTCTTTATGATGAGACATCTGTCAGTCTGAAATTTACAGTTACATTTTTGAGCTTTTATAACACCACTTATTTTCACAAATCTTTCAAAATAGCAATTATGGAATAGCATATAGCATTATTAAGTGATACTATGAAATATTAAATCATATATAAAATTGTCATGAAGAAAACTTTGAACATAAAGTTAATCTTAAAAATTAGTTTAATTAGACTTAAGAATTAGTTATTTCAAAGAATTCTCTTTTATGAACTTGAATTAAAGTCATAAAATAAGTATTATTAATTTTCTTGAAAGTCTTGATATTTCTATGACTTATTAACACTCTACTAGAGTCCTAATCCAATGCCTTACCGTGGTATGGAAGTGATCCACTGGGTATTTATTTTCCTTTTTTTTTTTTTTAGGATTTTCATTTTTGTTGTTTGTTATACTCTAAACTTGAAAACATTAAGAAACGTGAGCATTTCCATTAGCAAAGAAGTGTAGAATATTAATATTATATCAAATATGAATATAGTGTATATGAAACCTTGAGTTTCTATTGCATATAGCAAAGAATAGAATATTAACATGTCAAATATGAATATAATGTATATGAACCATGAATGTCTGTTACATATAGCTTACTTTTCTTTTTAAAGTATATCACAAATTAAACACATTAGTTCCAAAGCTGTCCTGCTTGTAACTTAATGGATTTTCAAAGGCCATGCCAATGAAGTATAAACTCTGAATGTTTTACAAACTGGATAGATTTTCACTGTAGGCTAGATGATGTATGTGTATGTCTGTCATTTAAAACTTTGTCCTGATCAAGGTTAAGGCCTGTCACCAGAATGCTGGTCACTAGACCAGGTAGTGCATTTTTTACAATTCAGATAATGAAATTCTAAAGCATATATGGGGTTGAGAATCTGTATAAGAAATGATATTTACAGTAGTGGAAAGGATACCAACTTGATGAAATCATAAATACTTGAAATATTGAAGTTTGTCTAATAGCTCATTTTTACAAAAGTCATTGTTCTAAAATTGTCAAAATTTAAGACATGTAAATATTTAGCTATCCCTCTATGGTAGCTTTTGGGGTTAGTGGATGGACTGGAGACAAAATGAAAGTGTCTAATTTTTTTTTATCTAAATGGACATTGACACAAAAAAATGTTTATCAAAGGTCATGTAGAATGCTGACACTTCAGGTTATGCTTTTTGGCAGTTTTGGAAAAAATGAAATTGTTTGGAGCACTTATACTTTTTAGATCAGTGATGCATTTTTTTTTCCTTTTGGTAGTGATTTTTGAATTAATATTTTCATTAAAGGAAGAAAGAAATATTTATCCTGATTTTTTGTATCCAATAAAATGAATATAAATTAAAACATTTAGTACACATTGTTTGAAAGATTTGTTTCATCTTTACTACTTACTGTTTTGAGTTTTCATTAGAATACTTGACTGTTTCCAGTTTGATTCATCTGTTTTCTAATTGGAAGACTCTTTGGCTTTGTAAGCCTTTATACTTGTAGTGAAATTCTAAGTAAGAGCAGAAAGGGAAGTTTTTACCCACTGACTTCTTTCTATACATATCTTTTGCCTTTTTGTCTTCTTTGAAATTTATATCTTTTTATGCCCAGGGCTAGTGTGACAAGGTCAAGTGGTATTAGGTTTTCACTAATGTCCTTTGTCTTTCTGGTTTGAATTTTCTTTAAAAAAAAATTAACGCAGAATGTCAGTAAAAGTAAAAGTTACAGAATTGAAAGAGCCCTCTGTTAGGTTTCTAGTTTGCCAGTGAACAGTTATAAATGCCAGTGAATTGCCAGTAAAAAAAAAAATGTAAATTCAACAGTCTCTAGATTTAAAAGGTTAGTTGTTTCTTTAAACAAAATAGACTGTTTACTAAAAAATAAATTGCTTATTCCAGTTTCTTTCAAGTTGTACAATTCTTGCAACAGGCATTTCCAATAGTTTCAGATTTAAAATTTTTCTTTTAATATCCCGAGTATATTATATCTATTGTTTGAAAAATATGAATCTTTGAGAACAAGGGAAAAACTGAATGCGGAAGTTGTTTTAATGTCATAATGACTAATATTAGCATTTTGAAGTCCTTTGAAAGTAAAAGAACTGAGTTAGAAATTCAGGATATACTGGAGAGACAAAAGAAGAAACTTTTCACCATCAAAAACATATTTGATTTGTGTCATAAACTTGGGAAGATGTTTATTCTTGAACTGCAACTAATTACCTAGACTATGACATCTCCATACTTGAATTTAGGGGCGTCAATTAATTTTATCCTAAATGCATTAAATTGTGCAACAGCTTAGTTTTGAGAAGTTGTTCTGTGTCTATAAAACATGTTATGGAGAAAAATGGAGACCCTTCAAGTATGCTCCCAATTAATCGATGTATACATAATTAAAGGAGAATTACAGAGGCCATGACTTAAACCTTGCTCTGTTTCCCCTAAGTGCCTCTCTTGTGTTATTTTTTCAGAAGCAAATTTTTGAAGCACTTGTAACCTGTATCCTATTCATGTATGAATAGTAATACTGCTCTTGGAGGAGCCCACATTCGGAGTGATCTTCAGCCTGTCTCACTGTTTAGTCTGTTTTTATCCATAATATCTTCTGTCGCTTTGGTAATGCAGAACAGGAGAGTATCCTACCACAGTCAAGGTCAATACAAGGGTTAGCATTGTGCCAGACCATGTGTAGGCCCCCGGTGATCAGGCTCTGTGGGCTCCTGACCTTAAAATAATACAAGTTGGAAAAAGGAAAAGGAAGAAATGAGAGAAAGTTTATCAAGTGATGAGAAATAGGTGTGTGGGGGGAAATACTGTTAAAAATAAGCCCCTTAAAAGGTGAAGTAAACTCCTGACTGATGTGATTTGATTCTCAACAGAAGGTACTGTTTCAGGAAAAGCTAAAGATGGAGTTTTCAAAAATGCACAGGGGAGATTTAATCATAAAACCTTTGTGAACAAGTGAGGAAAAAGGTTATTGGCAAAAGCGTTATCCCCTCTCTTGCTCACAAGGTCTAGCTAAGCTTATCTATCTTAACTTTTATTCTTAGATAGCTGAAACAATATATTACAATATTAAAGTATAGATGTATTATATATATATATGTATATGTATATGTATATACATATATATAATATATGGCTTAGAAATTACATGTCTGAATCAGTTTGAAGTTAATTTTTCCTATGTAGAATTGTTTTAAATTTCACTCATTTGATTCATTTAAAACACTCATTCTAACTAAATACAATTGTCTACTGGTAATTAGCATCAAAAGAGGTTATGAAAGGAATGTTTATTTTTGTTCTTTGTATCCTCAGTGCTTAATGCTTTGCCTTGCACATAATAGTCAATTTTTAAAAAGTTTGTTGATTTGTAGTAAGTAAATGGGAATCATTGATTATATGAGTATTTGGGTAGCTATACAATTAGGGATAGTGATAGGAACTGGACTTGTGATTGTACTGGAACAGAGAACTCCCCTAGGAGGACAACCTCTAACAATGCAGATCTCTTTTCTGCAGTTTATAATCTTAGAAAATTACCGAGAGAACTGAGAGGTTCAGTGACTTGCCCAAAGTCACATAGCTAGTATGTGTCACAGGAAAGACTTGAACCTGGGGCTTCCTAACTTTATAGACAACTCTATTCACTATATAATGTTTAACTATGTGATTAACTGGTAGGAATTTTCTCTTTGAAAAGGCATTTTCTTGCCTTACATTCAATTTTTAAAAAATTTAAATAATAGATATAAGGTAATGAAAATTTCTATCTTCAATATAAGAATGCTTTAATATTTCAGTAGATCCTTGATCTCATTGATTTCGGCATCACCTCTATCAGCACCAATTGCAACTATCTACCATTTTTTTATTTTGTGCAGTTACTGTTTAGGTCCGATTGCAAAGTCTTTTCAGAGGAGAAAATAGGGACATTTGTTATTGATGTCCTATTGATGTAAATTTGGTCAAGTAAATTCTCTTGACTCACTTTTTTATGTAGCGATAGAATCCAAGATTTTTCCCCCTCCAATTCTCTGGTATCTTTTACTATTTCAAGTACCTTGAATATCAATCTCTCTCTGGTAAGTTACAGAACAATTATGGATCTGCCTTGGCAGAGCGAGTTTCCTCATTGACAATTCTCTAAAGTCATAACAGACCAAAACAAAAGTTGCTAACAGACCCAAAAAACTCAAACTCCTCAACTATTATTTCCAAATATTAGTATTGTTATATACATTGACTACTACTACTACTACTACTACTACTACTACTACTACTAACTATACTAATTATTATTATTATTATTATTAACTACTAATTACATCATTTATAGGTTCATAGACTTAGAGGTGGAAGAGACCTCAGGATCCATTCAGTGTTGATAGAGTATGTCACTGTTAATGTTTAGAATTTTTAACATTCATTCTAAACTTTTGCTTTCAGTTTGACTGAAATTGTGCCACTCTTTCAATTTATTTCTTTGGAAAAACTGGATGTCAGCAACAACTGCCTTTCAGGTGAGTTTGGAAGAATAGATGAGGAAAATATACAACCTAAAATGTTTCTAAGATTTATAGTTGGGTTCAGTGACACAAGTATAGCATGAGGAAGGAACAATTAAACAGCAGGCCATGTGATCAAAATCTGGAGTATTTACAATGCATCAGTTTGAGTCAGTGGCATGGCATGAAAGCCAGAAGAGCTAATACAATCTTAAGTTGCATTAGTAAAGTTGTATTGTCCTGAAGCGTGGAGCTGATGGTTCCACTGTATTCTGCTATGCTCAGACCAGATCTGTGTTACTGTGTTCATAACTGAACTGGGTACCATGTTTTAGGAAGGATATTGTCAACCTGAAAATATGTCCAGTGGAGGACAACCAGGATAATGAAAGTTGGAGAGCATGTCATAAGAGGACTGCTTGAAGGAAGAATGTCTGCTTACTTAGAACAAGTAAAATTTAGAGAGGACATAGTGGCTGTGGAAGTGAGGTTTGATTTGTTTTGTTTGGCTCTAGAATGAAAGAAACAGGAGAAATAGGTGGGATCTGCAAAGGCCAGTTTCATTTATCTCAGTGTAAGGAAAAACTTCTTAATTATTAGAACTGTACAGAAATGGAATGGGATGCTCTCAGAGGTGCTAGTGGCCCTGTCACTGGAAGTCCTTATTTAGACATCAGAAGAGACTGTATGTTGGGATCATAGCTTCCTTAGTTTCCTTCCAGACTTAGCTCAGGTGCTGCTTTCTATAGGAAGCCTTTCCTCACCTTTTTAGAGGCTAGTGCTCTCTCTGTCATCAACATTAACTTGTGCTTATTTACCTGCATAAATGTTGGATCCCATAATGGAATGTGAGCTTCTTAAAGGTAGGGACTATCAAAATAGCAGGGATTGTTTAGGCCCAGAGCTCTATGTATTGAACCACCTAGGCTGCCCAAAAGGCAATATTTATTTTGTGCAGTTATTGTCCAGGCCCCATGGCAAGGCCTTTTTAGAGGAGATACTAGGGATTGATGTCCTCTTGACATCAATTTGGTCAAGTAAATTGGGCCTAAAGTAAGAAGTTCTAAGTTCAAATCTAGCCTCGGACACTTACTTTCTTTGTGACCCTGAGCAAGTCACCAGACTGCTGTTTGCCTCAGTTTCCTCCCCTGCTAAATAAGAATAATAATAGCCCCTACCTCCCATGGTTGTTGTGGGAATTAAATGAGATAATAATTGTAAAAGTGCCTAACACATAGTAAGCATTGTAGTTGTTATTTGTGTCCCCAGTGTCTAACAAAGTGTTTATACGTAGGAGGAAGTTAATAAATGTTTGTTTCATTCAATTGACTTGTCAGATTATTATTTATGTATGGGTTGGACTAGATGACCTCTTAGGTCCCTTCGAGTAGAATTTCTATAATTCTGTGATTTTGATTCTATGAAATTTTTGTCTTACTGAGAAAAACAACAAAGAAATGACCATTTTCTAGATTCTGCATGGCTTTACCATTATTTCCATGCCTCTGAAATGGAAAAAGACATAAGTTACAATTATCAAAACTTTGTACAGCTTATTTCTTCATAATCTATTGCCAAGGGTGACACTTTCGCTTGAGAAGAATTTTGGTTTCTACTTCAATGAAAATATGAAATCATTAAATTGTTTACTCTAATTTGTTCAGTAAATGGATCGAAGTTGTATAAATGCTTTGCTTTGTACATAGCACTGTAAGATCTAATTGTGATTTATAAATCATCTTCAAAATGAAGCATGTATTTGAATAGAAACATGTATCTGTAAAAGCATTTCTGTATTAGACCTTAAAAAGGCATTTTAACCAGCTCACTTGAGAACAGAGATTTCCCAAGTTAAAGTTAAAGCTTGATTCAATAAAGAATGAAATTAACTTTTAAATGCCTTCATTAAGGTAAAAAAAACCTTCAAATAATTTTAAGAAAAAAACACTAATTTTAAAATTTTATTGTTAACTCCTTGTTATTCAATATAGATTTTTTTACTAACTTTTAAAAAAAACTGCTTAAAAGTTTCTTAAAATTAACACTTGCTTTTTAAGGCTCTAAATGAAAGTCTCTATAGTTGTGCAAGTCATAAGTAATGTGCCTTAATAGAAAGTATGTTAAACTCGGCATCAGAACCGGGTTTTGAACCCTGGCGTTGGCACTTACTGGAGTGATCTGAGGGTTAAAACTCTTTGAATTTCAATATCCTCATCTATAAAATGTGGGTAATAATATTTGTAATATCTACCTCATTGCACTGAGGAAAGCAATTTGTAAAGCTTAACTATGCTGTATTCCATTTATATTATTTTTACATGGCTTTATAAGTTATTTCACTAATGGTTTTTTAAAAACATTCATAGTATTTTGAAGAAGAGTAGCTTATATTTATATTAGCGTTCCTTAAAATTTGAGGTAAAATAAAATAATTCTTGACTTTGTTATTATTATTTTTCTAGGATACTAACTTCTAGAATGATTTTATGTAGATCTTACAGGTGTCAACAAGTGGTTTCATGCATGTTTTAATCTATGTGACTTATCACTTATTGGAAACCCCCTTCTCCAAGAAAGAAATTGGAGGTAAGAAAAGCATTCCTTTACAATGTTTATTCCATATCTTTGAAATTAATTTTTTTTTCATTTATCAAGCATTTATTTTCCCCCCTCCTCCTGTGGGTGGGTAAGAAAGATAAAATCTTTTAACAAAGAAGCATAGTCACACTGAACAAATGTCCATATTAGCCATGTCCAAAATTGTGTGTCTTATTCCACATATTTTTTCAGCACCCTATGTCAAGGAGATAGGTAGCATTCTTTCCTTCATAATCAATTCTCTGAAATTATGGTCAATTATTGATCAGATTTCTTAAGTCTTTCGAAATTGTTCATTTTTCATTTTGGCGTCAGAGCCTAAGTTGTTCTCCTGGTTGTGCTTGCTTCAGTGCTGTATCAGTTCATATGAGTCTTCCTGACTTTCTTTAAAATTGTTTCTTTCATCGAATTCTGTTACATTCATATACCACAGTAAGTTCAGCCACTCCCCAATTGATGGAAAGTCCTTTAGTTTCCAGTTCTTTGCTACTACGAAAAGACCTGCTATGAATATTTTATGTGTCTCTATAGGACTTCTTCCTCTCATTTTGATCTCTTTTAGATAAAGGCCTAGCAATGGTAGAGCTGAGTCAACGGATACACAGAGTCTGTTAACTTTTGGGGCAGAATTCCAAATTGCTTCCTAGAATGGCTATGCCAGTTAATATAGCTCTCCCAACAGTGTATTAATATGCCAGTTTTCTTGTTGTCCCTCTGACATTTGTCATTTTCCTTTTTTGTCGACTTTACCGATCTGAGGTGGGAAGTGGAACTTCATAGTTGCTTTAATTTGCATTTCTCCAACTAGTGATTTAAAGATTTTCTTTTCATGGTTATTGATTGCTTAGATGTTTTTCCTTTCACCACTTATCAATTAGCAAATGGCTGTTGTTCATGTAAATTTGAAGTAACGCTATGTGACTATGAGCTATTATCTGACTATGATCTGAGAAACATGCTGCAGAGATTTTTTCCCCAGTTAACTCTTTCCCATCTCATTTTAGCTGGGTTGGATTTTTTGTGCAATTGTGTAGTGAAAACCACTCATTTCATCTTCTCTAATCTCTCTCTCTCCCTCTCTCTCCCTCTTTCTTGGTCATGAACCCTTCCCCATATATTGGTCTCCCATGTAATTTCTTCTTTGTTCTTCATCTGTTTATGTGACCTTTTATATCCATATCATATATCTATTTGGAGATTATCTTGGTATATGGTGTTAGATGTTGGAAAAAAACCTAATTTCTGCTGGAACAGTGCCTGATTTCCCCTCTACACACAGTTTTAGTTACATAGAGTGAGCTCTTACCCCAGTAGGTGGAATATGGGAGTTTATCAAACACTGGTCTATTGGGTTCATTTGCTTTAGTGTGTTGCATAGCCAAATCTGTTGACACTGATAGACATCTCTATTTTTTAACCAGTACCAAATTGTTTTGATGATTACTGTTTTGTAATATAGTTTGAGATATAGTATTGCTAGGCCTCCTTCATTCCTACTCCTTTCATTATTTCCCTTGAGCTTTTGTTACAACATATGAATTTTGTTATTATTTTTTTCTTCTTTAAAGTAATCCTTTGGTAGTTTTGTTAGAATTGTACTATAACAAGTAAATTAATTTAGGTTATACTGCCATTTTTATTTCATTGGCTCAGCCTATATGAGGAATTAATATTTCTCCAATTATGTAGGTCTATTTTTATTGCTGTAATTAGTGCTTTGTAAATTTTTTTATATAGTATGTCTACACAGTTTTTTGTTTTGTTTACTTAACCTTTGATTTCATTCCTATAGCGAAGAACTTTCTCTACTGATGCAGATTAATATTACCTTTACAATTTATAGTCTTAAAGAGTGGTTTGAGTCACCAAGAGGTATAAGAATTTGCTCAGAGCCTCATAGCCAGTATATTTAAGAGGCAGGATTTGAGGCCAGGTTTGCTTAACTCTGAGGGCAGCTCTCTCCACTACACCACACTGCTCTGTTTTATGTATCTGAATCACTGTTTGAAACAGTGATTATACTCTGAATCACAGATGACAGAATAAAGTTTATGTTCATTTCATTTTAGACATGAGGAGCTTTTGACTTAATATTCTTGATGACTCATGCATTATTGAGTTTCTTGGAATGGTAGTTAGAAGAATCCTATAAAATCTCTTCATACAGATAAGAAAATTAAGCAATAGGCAGTGAGTGACTTATGTAAGCACCTCATTCTACCTCCTATTCTAGTCTTCATTGTGTGTCACCATTTCTTGGGTTACCCAAGAATTGTTGGCCAAGCCAGATGTCTAGTCTGTAGTAGTCACAAGAAGTCTTCTCCCCCATCCCACTTCCTTCTCCTCTCTTTTCCTGCTAAAGTAAAGAGCTCTCCATAACTGCTGCATTTCATACCTGCCACCTTGTCCTTAATTCTTGTCTTATCTTAGGGCCTATTCCAGGGTGATATTTGGAAATGAGAAGGAAAGTACCTTGGGAGACATACCAAGCTCTCTGCAGGTTTATTTTCCCCACAACTTCCCCACAATTTCCATTTGCAATTCCATGAAGCTAAAAAAAAAAAACAGAACAAAACAAAAACAGAAAACTGCCCAATTCTTTATCCTTCTTAATAGTTAAATAAAAAATAAGCTTGTACTCTTATCCTATTTTATGTTTGACTCCCATAGTTCTCTGTTTGACAAAAAAAAGTTTATGTTTTTACTAACTCAGTTTCTATGTTCTTTTGTACTCTTCATTGTGGCAACTATTTTATGTTGGTTAAACTTCTCTTAGAATCACAAAATCTAATTGCTGGAAAAAAACCTCAGTGGCTATCTAATCATACCTATACCTGACCAAGAATTTATTTTACAGCCCTCCCACTCTCCACCCCCAAAGTGTCCTTCAGCCTCTGCTTAAAGGCCTCCAATGATCCCTTACCTTACCAAGGGGTTCTTAATATATTTGGTGCTATAGACCCCTTTGGAAGTCTGGTGAAATCTAGAACCCTTCCCAGAATATCTTCAAGTAATTAAAAGAAAAAAATAAACTTCACTTATTGGTCAGTGAAAATAAAAATATAATTTTATTTCCCATCTAAGTTCAAAGACTCTTGAAGTCATGAGTCTATAACCCCAGGTTAAGTGGAGAGCAGAGGATGCATATGAACAATGTTATAAAAATAAAGGACAAGATTTGGCAACCCAGTGGATATATGCAAATATATGCAAATGAAGATTCAAGGATAATACTGAGGTTGTAAGCTAAGGTTTCTGAGAGAATGGTAGAGCCTCTTGATAGTAACAGGGAATATGGGAAGAGGGAAGAGCTTGGGAAGGAAGATAATCAGTTCTGTTTTTAAGACATGGTAAGAATGAGATGCAATATGAATATGAAATATATAGTCCAAATGTCCTGTAGACATCTCAGTCTGAAGGCAGCTGGTGATTATATAATGGAGAGCTTAGGTCTGGAATCAGGAAGATCTGATTTCAAATCCTGCCTCAGAGGCTTGCTAGCTGTGTGCCCTGGGGCAAGTCACTTAGCCTCTTTTGCTGTGATTATCAAAATGAGATATTTGTAAAAAGTGCTTAGAATAGTGTCTGACACATAGTAGGAGCTTTATAAATATTTATTCCCTTCCCCTCCTACAGGGCAATTTAGTTTGAGTCAAACAGGTAGTTGCTGACCTTCACTTTCAAGTAATCATAAGATTTCAGCTCATCTTCAAACTTCAAATATTTATGTTTTCATCAACTTTGTAATATCTTCCACCAAAGCAAATTGTCATCTGTGCACATACTGTTGACCATCTTCATGAGTTGCTGTGACCAAATTTCATTAGTGACCAACTTTATGTTGATTCATTCCAAAGGTTCACTAAGTTGGTCCTTAGATGATTAGTGATGACATCTTTGAAGCTTTTCCAGTTCATAAGAAAATCCTTCCTCTTGTTTTTTCATATATATCTTGAAAGCCACTGGATGCAGTCTTTGAGAAGTAGTTTGGGGAATGAGGAGAGCCAATGACCTCAAGAAAGGAGAAACAAGAGACATGGTTACTGAGTTTAAAATTATCTGAATTCCCGAGGGAACTCGTGTGGGCAGAGATTTACTGAAAGGAGCTCATGTCCAGGGATGTCTTTTCTCAACCAGTTGATAGTTTTTTCACGTACTCTCTGTCCAATGAAATTGGCCTGCTGGTTATTCCCTGGACATGACATGAGTCACTACATCTTTTTCCTTGCAAAATGCATTTTCTCCTCACTTCCACCTCTTAGAATCCCAAGATTCCTTCAAAGTTTAGGGTGCTATCTACCATGCAAGAACTTTCCTGATCCTCCTGGTTATTAAGGCATCTCCCTTTGTTTAAATTGCTTTATATTATTGTGTACATAGTGAATCCTTCTAGTACATTTTAAGTTCTTTGAGGGTAGGGATTGTTTGTTTTACTTTATATTTCTAATGTGTTGCACAAAGTGGGAACTCAGTAGATTTTTGTGGTTTCATTTTGTTGTTTGATTTGTTACTAATCATGCGATAATAAATATCATCTTAGGGTCTTTTTTAACTTTAAAAATGGTCCTCAGACCTTGCGAAGTTGAGAAAACCCATGTGGTCTGGAGTCTGTGAAATACACAATGTGTAAAGGAACAGATGTGTACTTTTTTTTTTTTTGGTCTGGAAAAACAAGCAGAACAGTAAAGTCATTAGAGGAAGGCAGGATTAAGTGAGATGGGAAAAGCTGCCATTCAGTGAACATGATTGTAACATCTGATCCTATGGAAGGTACTGTTTACTCTTTGTCTTTGGTTTTTGCTTCCTTGGAGCAAAACATTTACTCATAGATTGTACAACCATTCCCCTTCTCCCCATGCCAGTTCCCTGAAACCATTCTCTGATGCAAACATATCAGCAAGTCCTTTTTGGGGTAGAAGAAACCTAGTGCAGAGAAAAAAATAGCCTTTCTTTTTAGATCAGAGGTCACCTATTCAGTTGTTCTTGCT